GGGGGGGGGGGGGGGGTCACCCTCCTGCCCGTCCTCACACAGCAAAGATGACATGACTTCTCCCGTTGTAGAGGGCCGTCACGCTATTGGTGCGATGAGTCAAACAGCCCCCTAGGCTGATGATTCAGGCTCCGTGCTCAGCGTTTGACAGACCTGTGTTTGCCTCTGTCTTACTGCTAACAGTTTCTACGCTGATAACTGTATTCAGATTCACTCACATAATTTATATTGTTAATCTTTATCCATCTGTACACCTGTGTATTGTGCCAAAGTCTTAAGCAGAAAAAGGTTCAAACTATTTATCTTGCTGTATATTTGCGCAGACAAAATACACTATTTAACATTACAACATATGCAAATTAAGAGTAACAATAAAAACTAACAAATTTTTCTTCTGTTCTCTAAAAAGTTATTGGTATCATGTTAGACGGCTTGAAGAACGACACTTTGGTTGCCAAACTCCTCCTCGGGGCCACCTGTTCATCTCCAGTTGAATTAATGAATCAATGTTAATAAAGAAACAGCGTTTGACTAAAGAAATAAATAAACAAACAAACAATCAGTTTTTTTTTTTGGCCTCAAAATACATCTGAAAAACTGATGCTGTCTTATATTCAGGGTCTAGACACAAAATGGAATATATGGCAGCAAATACGATATTTTGTTACGGCTGTTTTGACTTACTGTAATATAGATTTGCCGTAAGTTTTCTTACATGAGGGTGAAAGTCGGAAAGCGCGCGTGTCACACCAGGTGCGTGTGAGCTGGCATCCCAGGCAATGCGTGTGCTTAGCGTGTAACACTGAGTGCCGTGTAAATCGTTGGTTCCCTGTCTGTGCCGCTGCTAGTATTAAACCAATAGTGGCTGTTCATAAAGACAGTAAGACGGCTCATTTTATGGCTCAACCTTTCACTGCAGTGCGATATGCGATTTTTTTACCCTCTTCATGTGGGTCTGCTGCACTGAAAACATTCTGCACCCTCAAGTGTTGTGGAGTTTGTAATATTCATTATCTACCCCCCCGCCCCCCCCAAAATAATACATTTGTTTTTTGGATTACTTGCTGTTTAATACACTTATTATAATCCAATTGCTGTGGTTGCTGGTTAACGTATTATATGTTCTTGTCAAATAAAATTATCTTTGTTTATGAAAGGAAGATTTGGTATTCCAAAAAAACGTTTTTTCTAAACAGTTACCAAAAACGTGGGGGGTCGTGTTATATTCGGGGTCATCTTTTTTTTCGGGCCAATATGGTAGTTCGATAACTCGATGAGGCACTTAGTAGGTCATGTANCGGGCCAATATGGTAGTTCGATAACTCGATGAGGCACTTAGTAGGTCATGTACGGCCAATGGTATGGTCGAGTTAAAAAATACATGGGTACCTTAGACGTTTGCTGCAATTACTGTGGTGACTTTAGGAGAGGTTTTGAAGCTGACACACTTTGACAGGGATAATAACATTGTTTTGCATCAGCATGAAGATCATTTAAATATTTTCTTTGACTGCTTGAGACTTTTGCACGGCACTGTATAACGACAGAGTGGTTCAGCAGCTGTCTGCATAGTCTGCATGTTGTCCCCACGTCCATGTGGAATGTATTCAGATATTTCAGTCTCACCACGATCCAGATAAGCATTTTATGTAAATGGATAAAATGAGGTGGGTTAAGTCCGGGGTGCGGCGATGCGGGAGCCTGGGAATCGCTTGGGCTCGGCCGCCTGACAGCTGCCTGCTCTCTTTCTCATCGCAGAGAAGCAGGAGAGCCGGCGGGCCGCGGCCCACGAGTGCCTGGGGGAGGTCCTGCGGAACCTGCGGCAGATCATCGGGACGTACCCACTGCTGAACACTGTGGAGACGCTCACCGCGGCCGGAACACTCATCTCCAGGGTGAAAGGTCAGCGCCCCGGCGGCCACAGCTGTCTGGCTTAAGATCAGATCCTGTCAATCTGCGTTTCCTAATCCGCTCCTCAGGGACCCACTGACGGTCCAGCTCCTGGTGCAAAAATGTGGACTGTCTTGCAGGCAACTGGGAGGGAGCGAAAATGTGGACTGTCTGGCAGGCACCTGGGAGGGAGCAAAATCATCTGGGACTGGGTGTAGGACCTTTTTAGAACCAGGGCACTGTACTGACATTTAACCATTATACTCTTTACAAAAAAAACCTGCTAACCATATAAATGCATCTAAAAATATGCCGATATACATAGACAAGCCTCAAAAAAAGTAAATTAAACTACTGGAAAAATGTTCATTTCAGTATGATTCACAACTTATTCTGGTCAAACTAGCTTTTTCAGTAATTCATAAGTGCTTGATAAACATGACCAGACTTGGGGGGGG